TCCTTCAACATGTTTAAGCAATAAAATAGGCTAATATATATGCATTTGTTGACCAGTCTAAAATAACTAACCTGTCAGTTCTGAGTGCAAATGAAACACTGCTTGCTTTCAGACATTATCGAACAAACCTTCATGTGCCCTGCTTTTGTCCTTATCTTTCAGTGTCTCGGCAGATTGAGGAGGCGGACGGAAAGCAAACACAAGGACACCAAGTGCTCAAAATGGCCACATACTCGCACACCAACCCAGTGGTGGGAAGGTCCTTGTATTTTAGTGCATATTGTAGCAACAGTACCAGGTGTTCACTCTACTTTTCCCTCATTCATTTGGCTTTACCTACTGTCTCAAGTTTATTTTCAGAAAATATGTGGCTGTACCCAGTGGGTATTTTAAACCAACTGAATGTTCTTTAAATTACTATTTGACGTATTTTTAATCAGATCTCTTGCTTCTAATGTAAAAAAGTGTTTTCTTTGCCTACTGTTGAATGTTTACAGCTCAAAAAGGCAAGAGACAAATGACCAATAGTTGAAGAAGGGATTTATTCATATAAAAATATGTGCCTATCTCTAAAATGTTCTCGTTATATAGCATAGGTTCCTGTTGGATGCAATGCAGAAATATGTGTAATATCTCTGCATCCATAAAATAAACCACTTTTTCTTAAATGCGGTGAAGTGCTGGTTCATGGTTGTGCCATAACAGCTCTCCATCTAGTGGCCTTGCGTCGTACTTGCAGCGCACGGCGCGTTTGACGGCAGTACACAGCGGTACTTCGCCTGCGTCTGTCAGTGCTGTGCAGCGGACAGCATCTCCAGTGTCATCGCAGTGAGCCGGTGAACGCAGCTTCGAACCAGAGGTAGGATATACGTTGCTTTCCAGTGCAATACGTTAACAAATGGCATGTTTTTTGTCAACATCCTTTAATAGACATGTGAGGAGATTGGGATTTCACGACCGGCTGTAATACCTGTTATGTATGTGCATTATACTGTGACTCGAAACTGATTGTTGAATACTGTGTGGCTTTGATGTCATGGTAATTTAATCTAAGAGATCCATGCCAAAAGTGGAGATGGGTGTGGATTGGTACCATAGCGCAGTAGGCCTGTATGGCGCAGTTTCAGCTGAGAATTGTACCACTTGACAGTCATGTCTTCTGTATCCATAGTCGTCATCCTGCTGCTTTAGAAAAATAAACAGTGCTGCGTAACTATCTGCAAAAGTGATGCGGAGACATGCAGGTATTTTTAAAACGCCCTCTGCAGTGCGATGGTCACTGCATTCTGTCCATTGCGGCATTGTCTTATAACATTCTTACAACACAACTCATTGTTTTAGGACCTTCTAATGAGCTAAAGGTATATTGAGTTGGATGGCAACAGTAGTTTTATTTTGTGCTGTCGGGACAAAGCCGTGTATGAGCCGCATTCATCATACTATTTAATTAGTAGGTGTTTTGTCCGCTGGGCTGTGATGTTAATGTGAAGCATGCCTGCCTATAAAAACCTATATCTCGTGTTGTGAACAGGGCAGTAACTGTTAGACAGTCTGTAACTACCCCCACCGCCCCCCACACGCTCCAACAACAAGGCGTGTGACGATGCTGTTAGATACGGTACTGACTGACCAGTGCGCGCGGGGGTGACGTAGTAACTCGGTCTAGTGTCGTGATCCTTATCGATTAGCCAACGAGCTAACTATCGGCAGGGGCTTAGGCGATAAGCGGACAGGTACATGGATGTGTGCACTGTATTTCTAGGGGGAAGATAGACCAAGGGCGTTATATTATTTAGCGGTATGGGCCTGTTTTCATGTAATTTTGAATATAGCGTTATATTTAGGACAATGTTTAATGAAAACCTTTATCAGAAGAGACTCGCGAATGATTGCGTCAGTTTTGCTTAAGATAATGTTATTCTTTCATGATAAAATTGTAATTCACCAAATAGTCAACGCTATGTAGCCATAAAGCCAACTTTATCTAAATAAGGTTAACATTAGATACAGAGTTTTCCCACCGTTTTGAGCCTTCTATGCTGAGGTTCTTGGTGGCACGAAGTGACAAATATTTCCATTAGCTAATGTTAGTTGGTTAGAAATATGACTGAGGCACTGGTCTGCCTACTGGTTATTAACCTTAACTTACAACCTAAGAGACTTAAGCTAACCAGGTTTGCTAGATATGACAAGGTGCTGCATAGATCTGTCACTATAACTGATGTCAGTGCAGTCCAAGGGCGTAGGTTTGGGCTCAACACTGGTCATTTACTGTATGTTGTGGATTCTTGTTTGCTGGAATCTCTCAGGGTCTTCCAGGGTGAGCTACTATGGGGAAGGAGAAACTCCACATAAACATTGTGGTAATAGGACATGTCGACTCAGGCAAGTCCACCACCACTGGCCACCTCATCTACAAATGTGGGGGCATTGACAAGAGAACAATTGAGAAGTTTGAGAAGGAAGCTGCAGAGGTATGAATCATTCTCACTTTTCTTCACAGCTTAAAATATGATCTTTTTGATACTTGTGTACTGTGTAACTGTATTTTGCTGCATGTGTTTTAGTGTAATATTATGCTGTTCTGTAATAACTGGGTGTGTTTAACATGTCTATTTTTGTGTTCTGCTTATTCTGTTTATGTCCTAGTATTGTACTATTATGTGGTTATACAATACATTTGTAATCATTTAGGACAAAAATTAAACTGGCATCACTGCTAAAACACTGGGGAAAAGTGGGCTATAAATTGCCCCCCAAAAGGTTGGTGGGGGTTAAAGATCAGTGTGGGATCATGTGCTTTGAGATTGTCAAAATTAGATTTACACATGTTAAACAATATACTTACTAGTTAAACAGTCTGCACATAAAACTGTTTAAAAACATAAGTTTTTGGTCCTTGCTCAAAAACGTATGCTACTTCTACCCCTATCAGACACGAAGTGAAGTCCTGACATTGTCAGGACTTTGTACAGGTAGGCTCTGTGGGTGCAAAATGTTCAGTCAGGGTCCAAAATTAACACCCACCATGCACCAAATGTGGGTAGATGTTCCATTTGGTGGCAGCATCATGTTGTGGGGGTGCTTTGCTGCTGCAGGGACTGGGGCACTTCACAAAATAGATGGCATCATGAGGAAGGAAGATGATGTGGATATAGTGAAGCAACATCTCAAGACATCAGCCAGGAGCTGATGTTGTGTGGGCTGCTGTAACAAGCAATCTATTTATATAAAGTAAAAGTTACACACCTTATCTTACTTTCCTCTCCATGTTGTCTAGATGGGAAAGGGTTCCTTCAAATATGCCTGGGTTCTGGACAAGCTGAAGGCAGAGCGTGAACGCGGCATCACTATTGATATCTCTCTGTGGAAATTTGAGACCAGCAAATACTACGTCACCATCATTGATGCTCCAGGACACAGAGACTTCATCAAGAACATGATCACTGGAACTTCTCAGGTAGAGGGAAAAAGGGTATGATTTAAAAAAATGTTTGATGGAGAGAAAAAGTGAAGAAAAAACCTCATACCTCATTCTCCCCACTCCTTTTAGGCCGACTGTGCTGTGCTGATTGTGGCTGCAGGTGTGGGTGAGTTTGAAGCAGGCATCTCAAAGAATGGGCAGACTCGTGAACACGCCCTGCTCGCCTATACCCTAGGAGTGAAGCAGCTCATTGTGAGCATCAATAAGATGGATTCCACTGAGCCCAACTACAGCCAGAAACGCTATGAGGAGATTGTGAAAGAAGTCAGCAATTACATCAAAAAGATTGGCTACAACCCTGACACTGTGGCCTTTGTGCCCATCTCTGGTTGGAATGGAGACAACATGCTAGAACCCAGCCCTAATGTGAGTCTGCCGTGTTCACCTCCTGAATATTAATACATTAATTATGGCTAAAATACTTCATATTGGTCTAATAACAAATGTGCATGTAGTGCAGTGCAGCGCTACCAGAGCTCGATTAACCTCATCCAAAGACAGAATATGAATAGCTTATATTATGGCCTAGTTTTAGCTGATTCTGTGCACAAAGTGTAATATTTTGTCTGTGCCATGTTATGTTGTCTTTATACTCATGCAAGTACACTGAACTAGCTTCAGACTATGGATCTGCGAGACAGCTGGCCACATTTTTGGCATTACACAAATCCATCCGACCATTGGAGATAAATATCGTTGGTCATTCAGGTGATTAATCCAGAGTTGACGGTACAGAAGAATATCCAGTCAGCTGTTTGACTATCTTGGCGATGCTGTCACACACCAATCGCACAAACACTTAGGTGCTGCGCCTAAGCTTTTCTTTGGCAGGGAAAACCCTGTGTACAGATACATATGGAATAAGTATAGCATAGTCCACATACTGTATGTTTCACATTATATATTTTGATGGTTACCTGTTTAGAAATAATATTTTTTTCATAATGAGCTATGACTTTATTATGTCTGCCTCTGTTTTAGTTCTCTAGTCTAATTTGTTTAAAATTCATTCATTCATTCATTTTCTACCGCTTAATCCCTGAGTGGGGTCACGGGGGGCCGGAGCCAATAGCGGCCGGCAATCGGGCGAAGG